ACACACACACACACACACACACACACACACACACACACACACACACACACAAGCCAGAGAATGAAGTCACATGGTATCCTGCCCCATCACTCTTTGCCTTATTCCCTTAACCCACTAAGCCATCTCCCCAGCCTTGTATTATTCTCTACATGGATTCATATAATGTGATGATGTTATTGGGAGATGTGAAAAAGGTAGGAGGTGGGGTCTATCTGAGTGACATGGGTCACCATGGACATGTTTTGGGGGCCTAGGACTTATCTCAGTCCTTCTTGTACCCTCTTTTCCTGTTTCCTGACCCCCATGGTATGACTTTCCTTCTCTGCCATGCTCTCCCCACTGTGGTGGACTGACATTTCTGAAACTATGAGCCAAAACAAATCCTCTACTGCAGTTGTTTACATCAGGTGACTCAAAAATCAAGAGTGCCCTAACCTTTAGTATATCAAGGCAAAATAAAAACAGTGCACACACCAAATGATGCCATGTTTTTCCTCCCACCTTCGAAATCTTCTGAGAGGTGTCATCCATGGTCTACTTCTTGTAGCTATTCAGTGAGTTCTGGGCTTGGCTTGAGCTTATTCAGTCAACACAACAGAACATAATACAACACAAAGCCCACATACTCCACTCTGTCAAGTGGGCATATATTCGTATTTGTGTGTACGTTTTACCATTTTTAACTTTTTAGTGAAGGCAACAGTAGACTGTTGTTTGTACCTGGCATAAAGAAACCATCTTTTCTTAACAACCAAAAGCCTCTTGCCCTAGACATTTTTCTCCAAAAGGAGAAAGTCCTTCTTTCAGCTTTGGGTCATGCCCATTCTTTCTTCAGTTGTTACATTCCTCCTCTTATGTTCTGTACTGAGATGTAAGAAAAATGTCTACTAAACACATTTTACATTGGATAATAGGAAAAGAGGAGAAGGAAAGGAAAGTAGTTAATAGATATGCAAATATATTCACATTAAAATAAGAATAATCTAATTCAAAGTTCTCGTGTTTATATTTTATTGCACAGTTGCAGTTCACACTCATAGCTTCCTCTTATCACCTCTGTCCTATGTTTCTTTTACTCTTAGGAAGCAGGTTGGCTCCTGTGATTCTAGCCTTGGTTGAGAATTCAAAGCTGCTTTTTGGCAATTCTGACCATATTTTCCATGTGAGTTTTATCACAGGATGAAGTGCTAGCAGGCATATTGAGGGATACCCTGCTTCAAGGGGGTATCCTGCTTGTGCAAAGACATCCCATTTCCATCTGAACAGCCACTATCAGTTGCCCCATCAGGGCCATAAAACTTTTTCAACTGTGATCTTGGGAATGACACACTCAGTGTGATCCAGTAGAAGTCCCAGCTTCCTGCTTAGGGGATAAATTACTGCATCCCAATGACCACAACACCCTTCCTTATGGCCCCAAGAGCTTCGAGTTCAATGTTTCAAGGATGGAAAGCAAGATTACCAGGGATGATGAGAAGAAACACTTTCATTTCTACTTCTTTTTTTTTAAAAATTAAAATTTATTTAACATTTTTCATTTATTTTACATATCAAATACAGTTTCTTTTCCCTCTTCTCCTTCCATTCCCTCCCCCTGCATCCCATCTGATCCCTTCCCCATCTATTTCTCTTTTTATCAGATCCAAGAATCTATGCTACAAGGACAAGCAGCTTCTGGTGGGTTATAAGCAGCACATATTGGCCATTGTGAAGGATAATGTCCTTCAAGATCAGATCAGGGTCTTGCCAAACTGAGTCTCCATGCAAAATCTGTTTTCTTTACTTATTGCTGGGTAATTAATTACCCCAATGTGGTGGCTTTCTGTAGTAGGATAATTTTTTTCATCTCTTTCCCTGTTTAGAACATTTATTTATCTCATCTAGGAGCTTCTAGATCAAAATTTCTCATGATAGCAGTAAGCCCTGGAAAGGGAATCATCTAAATGCTTTCTCTCTTCTACATCTAGTATTGATTGTAGATGTTGACAGACTTTAGTCAAAACATCCTTTTTGGCCCTTGGTGGTTTAAGCTTCCTCCTCGCCTAGTCACTGGGTTTAAGAATAAGTAATGCAAGATAGAGGAAGTGGAAGGTGACCTGGAGATTGGCAACATTGCATGTCCACCACATCCCACTGGCCAAGGAATCACAGGACACAGAATGAAGGATCCTGCACTTGGATTTGCTCCTAACAGAGAGCAGCATCCCAAACTCTTGTGATCACATTGTATGGCTGACACAAACAGCAGTTGGCTGAGTGTTTTTAAATGCAGACTTGTTTAATTCTAAACCATGCATTCTATGTTGCCACTGATTAAGAAACCTGAGTTTTAATTCTAGATCAGACACTGCCTAGTCTAGTGGTATTGGATGGGGTGTAGAGTCTGTTAATACATGTAGAAGCTGTCATGGATAAAGAATTAGGTACCTTCAAGTCTAGCCACTGAGTGTTCCTACTGCCCTGGGATCATACATGCTTTCCTCATAGCAAAGTCTCCTTGGATTCTTTCTAGAAGTTAAGAAAAACAAAGTGCTTGTTTTCATCAAAGGAACAACCCAGTAGATGTCTCATTTATGACAATAAGTGCAGTAGTATTTTCCTGCGTGTTTCAGCTTAGTATTTTGTATTAATTAACTAAATTGCAAAGATCTGGGGTGCTTTGCTGTAGTTTTTTTGACTGTTACATAGAGGTAAGTAGATGGTTTCATCCCCTCAAGAGTTCATAGTGTGATGATGAAGTTTAATAGAATGAAGAAAGCATATGCCTGTAATCCTAACATTCAGAAAGTGGAGATAAGAGGATTAGAAATTCAAGGTCATCTTTCATTAAAAAACGAGTTTAAGGCCAGTATGGGCTACATTAGACCTTGTATCAAAAAATAAACAAGGCATGGGAAGATGGCTTCGTAGGTGAAGGTGTTTGCTGCACAAACCCAGAGATCCATGTTCAATCCCCAGAACTCATGTAAAAATGAAGAGAACTAACTTTATAAAACTTACTTCCATTCCACATGTGTGGTAATAAATAAAAATTAAATTAAATATAAAAAAACAGAACAAAAAGCCCAAGTTCCTTGTTAAATTTTGGGGGATAAGAGGGAAGAATAACATTCAAGAACAGAATGGAGGATTTCAATGACAGAAACACAGAAAGCCTTCAAACTAATGGAAACTGAACAACTCTATACTGAGTGACTACTGAGTCAAGGCAGAAAGAAAGAAAGAAAGAAATTAAAAACTTACTAGTATTCAATGAAAATGAATGTACAACATACCCAAACTTATGGGACACTACGAAAGCAGTGCTAAGAGGAAAATTCATATCACTAAGTGCCCACATAAAGACGTTAGAGAAGTCTCACACTAGTGACTTACAGCGCACCTGAAAGCTCTAGAACAAGAAGAAGCAAACACATCCAAGAGGAGTAGACATCAGGAAACAATCAACAGGGGCCTGAAATTAGTAAAATAAGAACAAAGAGAACAATACAAAGAATCAATGAAATAAAGAGTTGGTTCTTTGAGAAGATCAACAAGATAGACAAACCCTTATCCAAACCAAGTAAAAGGCAGAGAGAGAATATCCAAATTAACCAAATCAGAAATGATAAGGGGGACATAACAACAGACATTGAGGAAATCCAGAGAATCATTAGGTCATACTTCAAAAACCTATACTCCACAGAATTGGAAAATCTAAAAGAAATGGAAAATTTTCTTGATAGATGCCACTTACCAAACTTCAATCAAGATCAGATCATCAATTTAAATATAACCCCAAAGGAAATAGAGACGGTCATTAGAAGTCTCCTAACAAAAAAAGCCCAAGGCAGAATTCTAATAGACTTTCAAAGAAGAGCTGATACTAATACTCCTCAAATTACTCCACAAAATAGAAGCAGAAGGAACATTTCATGAGGTCATAGTCACACTGATACCCAAACACACAGAGACTCAACAAAGAGTTTTACAGACCAATCTCCCTTGTGAACATTGATGCAAAAATATTCCATAAAATACTTGCATACTGAATCCAAGAACACATCAAAAAGATCATCCACTGTGATCAAGTAGGCTTCATTCCAGAGATGCAAGGAAGGTTTGACATACAAAAATCTGTCAATATAATCTACCATATAAACAAACTGAAAGAAAAAAAAAAACCAAACATGTAATCAACTTGAAGGAAAGGTATCTAGTCAGTCAGAAGTCAAGGAATACCTACAGTTCTGAAAGAAAAGGCATCCCAACAGAAGTGTTATGGCTCTATTCTGGTGGGAAATGGTTTCCCCAGCAAAGTGTTACAGTCCTTGCATCAGGAAAGGTTTCCCTAATGCAAGTGTAAGAACTTTGCTCCATCAGGGAAGGATGTCCCCAGTGAGGTTGCTATAGCTCTGCTCTAGAGAAGTGTTAAAGCTCTGCTCAGCTTACCTGGACTGTAACAATTCTGCTCCAGCAATGGAAAGTTTCCTCAGGCAAAGTATTACAGCCTGCTCTGCTCAGCAAAAGCTGTTACAGTTTTGCTCTGCTCTAGTGAAAGAAAACTATTACAACAAAACTCACTCAATAAATCAAGAGATTTATTGGGAGGGAGGAACCCAGGAGAGTTATTGCCT